TCCCATGCAGCCACAAGATCTACCAGAAGAATATCATTCCCTTTGCAGTGCTCTGTGTCTTACCCCATTCGTACCGGAATTAAATGCCTTTTATCCATCAAAAGAATAAGCTGTCACTTTAAGCAGTCTGTTTATAGCCTGAAAAACCAAGATAAGCCCAGATTTCACTTGATGAGTAACCTCCCCTTATGGGTTTTTCTTTTACAGTACAAAAAGCAGACTTTACAGCGAAACGAAATGAAGGGCCAGCCCAGCACACAAAGTTATTGAAATAAGAGAGCAATAATTAAAAATGGCTTCAATTCATCAATTGCATTTCATGCAAACAAAAAGAGAAATATCAATTCTAATTCCAAACAAAGTTAATCAGAAAAAAAAAAATTATGCACATTTTGTGAAACGCATGAAGAACATAAACAGAATTCATCTATCAATTCAAACCCATTAGACACAAGAAACCCAGTAACTGTTTAGCTCTGAAAAATGCAGGGAGCTAAAGAAACCAAACTTCCTGAATCTATATGATTTCTGTTGGGTGTGTGAAGGAACCCAGATAATTCAAAGCTCTATCTCACCGTTTTCTGAACTTGTTTCTCGGCAACCAAACATGCCAGTGGGCTTCTCACGTTGAGAGAGACCAACAGAAATGTCAGTTTCAAAAAAAACAATGATGATTTATGAGGGAATTTGAATTATATGGAGATGAGTGTGGGAAACTAAGGATGGAGAAAAAGTCTTTTTCCTGTAACACAAAAGTGTGAGAGAGATATCAATGAGAAAATAAACGGAAATTCAAAGCTACGGGGAGTTTTGAGTACGGTTGGATCTTTTTAATATAATAATGATAAAAATATCTTCAATAATTATAATAATGCGGAACAGAGAAAGCTATTGCTTTTGTCATTGGCTGGAATGGAATAAAACGACCAGAAACCGAAGCTTCCATTTGCTACACAATATCTTCTTTTGTTAAATTTCTTTTTAAGTAACTTTTAAAGTAGTTTCCGACATAGGTGAATTGTTATGAATTTGATTGAAATTTACACCTATGCTAAAAAGTAATATGAATTTGTATTCCCCAATTTAACCGAGCCTTACAGCATAGCCATGTGACTAAAGATGACTTTATTCCTGTCGGATGCAACTAACGATTTATTATCTAACTGTTTCTCACACTCTGTTACTACATGCACAATGTTAACTAACATTCATCTTGCATGACATATGACAATGCCATTCAATCTAATAATCTCGTTACACCAATTGTATGTACTTTGAGAATTAGTCAAGTTTAGAAATTTCGGTATCCGGAAATCATAGGGGAAAAAATAAAGAAGAAGATAAATAGCTTACCCAATTAAACCTTAACCATGTGCATGTATCCACTTTGGTACTGTCTAATCCATAGCTTGACTTTATAAACATGCTCGGTCCACAAATTGAATGTGGCAATTATTAAGTGGTACCACCTCAACTTATCAATATTTACCAAAATCTCCTCTGATAAAAATTTATACAAAATAAATAGAAAATACAATTTCTGTCATTTTACGTGACAGTCATTTTCCAACTTCTTTGTAATTTATTACCTTGTCTTCGGCCGCATCGAATTAAGCCCAAAACAAAAAGAAATTATAGAAATTATAGAAATTATAAAAATAAAATAAAATAAAATAGCAATTTGATGTGATCGGATGTGGGATTGCAGCACGTAACGAACAGCTCACAGACAGTTGCTTTTGATGCGCACGACACGTCCATTTGGCGCCACACTAAACGGGTTTTGGTGTCGTCAATATGATCGCATGAGAAATGTGTTTCCACATTTTTTTATGTGTTTCCTTCTAATGCGCATTTATGTGTTTCCTTCTAATGCGCACACGGTGCCCATTGCACGCGCTGTGCGGACGTGGCGCTTCCCAAGCGTTACGCGCCAATGTGCGCCTCTGAGTTCGCGCCTGTAGATTCACGGAAGAGAGAGAGAGAGATTGTTGTTGGATTTTTCCGCGTGGTGCTGGTGTTTGGCAACTAGCGTAGGCTAGTCCCGGTCGACTACGAATCTATGATAGCTCTAGCTTTACCATGTGAAGGCACCAAATATTGATCCAGGTCAATTTCAATGTTAATGAATTTCACTAAGCACTTTGAATTTGCTTGATACAACGAAGAGTTTGTGCTAATGAGAGTTGTTTTGCAAGTGCAATGGTTCGTTAATCTCATTAATTTATTGTGAGATACACTTACATCAACAGCTGACAATCACTCACGAGCGCGTAAACGACTATTCATAACTTCAAATCAAATATGTTAATTTGATTTCATTTTTAGTAATCAATCTTATATTAGTGTCTCTTCAAGTATTCAAATGTCATGTACTCTAAAAGCACTTGAAACACGTTCTTAAATTCAAGAGTAACTTTATGAAAGCTCTCTTTGGTAAATATCAAAGTACAAAAAAAAAAAGAAGAACAAAATCAATTATGCATGTCTAGTACCAAACCATTTTAGCAATTGATTACAAAATTAAAAGTCATTTCATAACCATTTCATTTTTTATTTTCACATTTACGTACGCACATTTTGTATCGTACTTTCAATTTATTTCTTCATACACTAACTTATATGATATGTCCTATACTCTCAGAGGACAGTTTGTTGTATACGTATGTGTGTGGAGCGAAGACACTTTCAACAGATGCAAGGCTTTGGACCGGTGCTTTCTTTCCATCTCGATCCACATGACCCAAATTATTGTATACAAAGAGATAACATATTCTTTGTCAACCATAAAAAGGCAAAAGGTAAGAAAGCTATAAAAAATAAGGTCCATCTGTTGCAATTAACTTACAACTCACCACCATGAGATGATGGGTTTAGCCGCTTAGGTAGGGTCGTTGGGTCTCCAAAGCCACCCTTTCCTTTTCATGCAATGATGTGGAGAGCGCTTGTTCATGTGCTTCAAAAGCTAAGCCAGCCACATGATCATTCAAGAGATGAGTGAGAGACCAAAATAATAAGATGAATACGTATATATTATGCTTTTAGCACCCAAGAGAGAGATCCATACAGATAACAAATGGGGGACCAAAGGTTTTCAGCAACTTTTCAACACAAGCCGGGCTTTTTAAGAGTTCGACACCTAGTTTGGTATTGAAGCTGCACCTTCATTTGGGGCGGCTGTCTTAGAGATAAACTCTCATGCAATTCGGGTCAATAATGAAATGACTCATATAATAATTTTTTTATGTGTCATTGGGTTATTGTTTGAGATAATAAAAAAGTGTTATCCCCATTACATGTAGGTTTTTTTGGTCTCTTAAGTCTCAGACTCTCAGTTAGGGGCGGTGGAGGACAATAGGGCTTGGATCTTGGTGTGGTGTTGTGATGGTAATTGGGCTTCTGGTTTAGCCCATGTCATGTTTGGGTTAACCTCGGTTCAAAATAACATGCCTACATGGACTAAGTTGGTAACCGGTTTCAGGCCCGTGAGCTGAATGATGATTAACTTATGATGAACTGATGTCACTCATAAAGCGTTGTGATTTTTGGAGAGTTGTTCTTGACAACTCTATTCCTCTTAAAACGCAAAATTTCGATTTTATAGAAAACAATTTGTATGCCGCTTTTTTTTAGTCATTATAGATTCATTCACATTCATTACCTCATTATAACGTAACACTTGAAATTTCATCGTTTTCCTACATGGTAATCACAATTTAATCATCATTAGGTAATTTTTATTAACCAGATGACCTTGAGTACATGAGTAATTGCTCTTAACCACTTGAGCTACAAGTTTGTTACATCGTAATACAAATTTTAACTACTAATTAAAACCCATAAACATTAAATTGAGTAGACATTGTTCTTTTTAAGATAAAACTCGATATTAATCTTCACTCGCCTCACTTTAAACTTATTTATGTACTTGAAACACCATTAACGATTAGACAAAATAACTCAAATTAGTAGAGTATTGGATGATGCTAGTACATTATTGTAAATTTTAAATAAAAAAATAATGAAAAAAAGGAAATGGATAATATTGGCATTTTAGAAAAAGAATTGTGTATCTTTGTAAATTTGGAAATTCAAAATTAGGTCTCCAAAACTTCTTTGCATGGATTCTCGTGCATTGAAGATCAATCGGAGCTCAATTTTCCGTTTCTCAAATCAGTCGAAGATGCTTTGAAACTTGAATATCAAATTTGAACATTTGAAATTTTCAACATGGATTCTTGTACTTCCAACGGTTGAAGGTAGTAGACATTCTTCTTTCGAAGACAAAACTTGATATTAATCTTCATTCGCCTCACTTTAAACTTATTTCTGTACTTGGAACACCATTAACGATTAGACAAAGTAACTCATATTAGTAGAGTATTGGATGACGCTAGTACATATATAGTAAATTTTAAATTTAAAAAAACGAAAAAAGGGAAATGGATAATATTGGCATTTTAGAAAAAGAAGTGTGTATCTTTGTAAATTCAGAAATTCAAAATTAGGTCTCCAAAACTTCTTTGCATGGATTCTCGTGCATTGAAGATCAGTCGGAGCTCAATTTCCCGTTTCTCAAATCAGTCGAAGATGCTTGAAAACTTGAATATCAAATTTGAACATTTGAAAATTTCAACATGGATTCTCGTACACTATCCAACGGTTGAAGGTCATTTTCCCTACTTTCCATATTAGTTAAAGTTCATTTTTTCCGGTTAGTTGCAGAGGTTCAACTTTACGGCAATCATTAAACTTTTACGGTGATTATATTAAAATCCAGTCCACCGTATCTATAACCTTGAAAATAAATTTTATTATTATTTAAAAATAGTAGAAAGGGCGAGAATCAACTGTAACAAATCAAAGCATTTTCGTTTTAACTTTTTACAAAACAGAATTGTATTACTGAAATCATGTAGAACTTAGGACAATGTGGTGAGAGAAGGAAGCTCCTCAATTTGAATGAAAAGTAAGTGAAAATGAAGGGCTTTTCCCTCCTTGCATTTCAGAAAGGCGCGACACTTGGGGCCAAAAGTTCCACCTTCCCGCCTATACGTGTTCATCGCTACTCGGTTCAAATTCTCACAATAAATACCACCAAATAGAGACAGACGGAGAGCGTCAGCCCTCTCATTACACCCCACATTGCGCATTCTAGGGTTTCACTGGCGATTAGGGGAGAAATGGGTTCCGCAGCGGCAGCAGAAGCGGCAGAAGCAGCAGCGCTCTTGGAGGCCAAAGGTGCCAATGGGACTAAACCACCATCTTCGTCATCTTCAGGTACTTTAATTCCCCCAAATGGTTTCTTTTGGCTGACTTGGTCTTTTATGTCTTGACTGCCCCTTTGCTTTAGTGTGAATTTATATGATTATAGTTTATAATTATAGGTTGTTTTAGATTTAGACTGCCCTTGGATTGTATTGTGAATTTGTGATTATGGGTTCTTAGGCTTTGACTTCCATTTTACTGTATTATGAATTTGGGATTATGGATTTATGCTTATAGTTTTTCAAGTTTTGACTGTCATTTTATTGTATTATGAAATTATGAATATGGAATATATTTATGGGTTTTTAAGTTTTGATTGTCATTTCATTCAATCATGAATTTGTAATTAGGATGAGTTTCAACTTTTATTACATCAAGATTCATTATTATGGTCTCAGCCAAAGACAGAGAAATGAATTAGTTTTCTTTATCAGGACCCTTAAAAAGCCTTGATTAACTACTTGATTTCTCATGATTTTTTTCGCATAATAACTCCTCTTCCCCCGTTGTTTTGTACAAAAACATGATATGCATGCATAGGCCTTTCTTGGCCTGGGTCTTGGCTTTATTTTTCAGTTAGCTTTACCTTGTCAATCTTTTGCCTAATTTCCCTGATTCTTTTGTAATAGGAATGACGAAGAAGAAGAAGGGTAAACAAGATTCCCAAAAGGCAGCACCTAAAGCTAAGAAGCGAAATTTGCCTCAGAGCAGTGAAGAAGAGCCTTCCCGATCTCGGAAAATGCCAAAGCGGGCTGCTGCTTGCAAAGACTTCAAGGATAGGTCTGTTCATATTTCTGAGAAGTCTAGCCTAATTGAAAGCAAGGAGGACCAGATAGTGGAGGAAGAAATTCTTGCTGTACGCCTGACTTGTGGCCCGGAACAAGATGCTGTGCGCCCAAACAGAAGACTGACTGATTTTGTTTTGCATGATGCAACTGGTTCCGCACAACCCCTTGAGATGTTGGAAGTTTCTGACATGTTTATATCTGGTGCTATATTGCCTCTCAATGAAAGTTCTGACAAGGACAAGGAAAGAGGTGTTAGATGTGAAGGTTTTGGGCGGATAGAATCTTGGGACATCTCTGGTTATGAAGACGGCTCCCCCGTAATATGGCTTTCAACTGAAGTTGCTGATTATGATTGCCGTAAACCGGCCAGTAGCTACAAGAAATACTTTGATCAATTCTTTGAGAAAGCGCGTGCTTGCATAGAGGTTTACAAGAAGCTGTCTAAATCCAACTCCGACCCCACTCTTGATGAATTACTTGCTGGTATTGCACGATCAATGAGCGGAAGCAAATTCTTTTCTGGAAGTGCATCTGTCAAAGACTTTGTTCTATCTCAAGGTGAGTTTATTTATGCTCAACTAATAGGTCTGGAGGAAACATCAAAGAAGAATGATCGGCCATTTGCAGAGTTGCCTGTCCTTGCTGCCCTCAGAGATGAGAGTATAAAGCGTGGAAATTTTGTGCAATCAAAACCGGGAATTTCAAGTGGTACTTTAACGATTGGTGGAGAGAACGGAGTGGATTCAGCTGGTTCATCCGTAGTTGAAGCTGAGGAAAATGAGGATGCAAAGTTGGCAAAACTCTTGCAAGAGGAAGAATACTGGAAGTCAATGAAACAAAGAAAGCGCCAGGGTCCTGCCTCTGTGTCAAGCAAATACTACATCAAAATTAATGAAGATGAAATTGCCAATGATTATCCTCTACCTGCTTATTACAAGAATTCCATTGAAGAAACTGATGAATTCATAGTTTTTGACAATGAGTTTGATATCTGTAATGCTGATGACCTTCCTCGAAGCATGCTTCATAATTGGTGTCTATACAACTCAGACTCAAGATTGATTTCGCTCGAGCTTCTTCCAATGAAACCCTGCGCAGACATTGATGTTACCATTTTCGGGTCAGGGGTTATGAGTGAAGATGATGGAAGTGGCTTTTGTCTTGATTCTGATGGTACTTCAAGTGGTCCAGGAGCCCAGGATGCTGATGGAATGCCAATTTACTTGAGTGCGATAAAGGAATGGATGATTGAATTGGGAGCATCAATGGTTTCAATATCAATCCGAACAGATATGGCCTGGTACAGACTTGGCAAGCCATCTAAGCAGTATGCTCTGTGGTATGAACCAATTCTGAGAACAGCAAAGATTGGGAGAAGTATAATCACTATGCTTAAAGATCAAAGTCGAGTAGCACGGCTTTCTTTTGCAGATGTCATTAAGAGACTGTCAGGGTTCCAAAAGGACCATTGTGCTTACATTTCTTCTGATCCAGCATTTGTTGAGAGGTATGTCGTTGTCCATGGACAGATAATATTGCAACTGTTTTCAGAATTTCCAGATGCGCAGATTAAAAAATGTCCATTTGTGATTGGTCTTACAAAGAAAATGGAGGAGAGGCACCATACTAAATGGTTAGTAAAGAAGAAGAAGCTTGTGGAAAAGAGTGAATCAAATTTGAACCCAAGGGCATCAATGGCACCTGTGGTTTCCAAGAGGAAGACAATGCAGGCTACAACAACAAGGCTGATCAACAGAATCTGGGGGGAGTACTATTCAAACTACTCTCCAGAAGATTCAAAGGAGGGAGATATTGGCGAAAAGAAAGAGGAGGAGGAAGTTGAAGAAGAGGATGTAGAAGAGGATGATGTAGAAGAAAATCCAACTGTAATGGAGCAAGCCCAGAAGCCTTCTTCAATTTCAAGACAAACCAAATCATGCCTCAACAACAGGGAGATTTTGTGGGAAGGGGAGCCAGTGGGCCAAACATGTTCTGGTGAAGCTCTTTATAAGCGTGCCATTCTTTGGGGAGAAGAAATTTCTGTTGGCGGTGCTGTTTTGGTGGAACTTGATGAATCCAATGAACTTCCTGCCATTTATTTTGTGGAGTATATGTATGAAACATTGAATGGAAGCAAAATGTTTCATGGAAGAGTGATGGAGCGAGGATCTCAGACTGTTCTTGGCAACGCTGCCAATGAGAGGGAGGTATTTTTGACAAATGAGTGCACAAATTTGGCATTAAAGGAAGTTAAACAGGCAGCTGTTGTGGACATTAAACTAATGCCGTGGGGGCATCAGTATAGGAAGGATAATGCTGATGCTAACAGAACTGATAGAACAAGGGCAGAAGAGAGGAAGAGGAAGGGTTTGCCGACTGAATATTACTGTAAAAGCTTGTATTGCCCAGAGAGAGGTGCTTTCCTTACTCTTTCACGTGATACTATGGGTCTGGGTTCTGGTGCCTGCCACTCTTGCAAAATGAATGAAGCCGAGGAGGCCAAGGAAGTATTTAAAGTAAATTCATCAAAAACTGGTTTTGTATACAGGGGAGTTGAGTACTCGGTTCATGATTATGTCTATGTAAGTCCCCATTATTTTGGTGTGGAAAGGATGGAAACTGAAATTTTCAAGGCTGGAAGGAATTTGGGGCTGAAAGCTTATGTCGTGTGCCAAGTGCTGGAGATAGTTGTTATGAAGGAATCTAAACGACCTGAAATAGAATCTACCCAGGTTAAAGTAAGAAGATTTTTCAGACCAGAGGACATATCTGTTGAGAAGGCATACAGTTCGGATATTAGAGAGGTCTACTACAGTGAAGAAACACACATCGTGTCTGTTGATAATATAGAAAGAAAATGTGAAGTCAGAAAGAAGAGTGATCTTCCAGTATGTAATGCTCCTGTCATTTTCCAGCATATTTTCTTCTGTGAACATCTATATGATCCTTCTAAAGGGTCTATTAAGCAGTTGCCAGCCCACATCAAACTGAGGTACTCAACAGGAGGTGGTGATGCTGATTCTAGAAAGAGAAAGGGCAAGTGCAAAGAAGGAGAAAATGTTTCAGAAGTTGAGAACCAGAGAGCTGATTCTGAGCAGAAACGCCTAGCCACATTGGATATATTTGCTGGTTGCGGTGGCTTGTCTGATGGGTTGCGTCTGTCTGGTGCTTCAATAACCAAATGGGCAATTGAGTATGAAGAGCCTGCTGGGGATGCTTTCAAACTCAACCATCCTGAGTCATTGGTTTTTATCAATAACTGCAATGTGATCTTAAGGGCCGTAATGGAAAAATGTGGGGACACAGATGATTGTATTGCAACTTCTGAGGCTGCTGAATTGGCTGCATCACTTGATGAGAAGGTTAAAAATGATTTGCCGTTGCCGGGGCAGGTAGATTTCATCAATGGAGGACCTCCATGCCAGGGTTTCTCTGGAATGAATAGGTTCAACCAAAGCACTTGGAGTAAAGTTCAGTGTGAAATGATTTTGGCATTCTTATCCTTTGCTGACTACTTCCGGCCAAAGTATTTCCTCTTAGAGAATGTGAGGAACTTTGTGTCTTTCAATAAAGGACAGACATTCCGTCTGACTCTGGCTTCACTTCTTGAGATGGGTTATCAGGTGAGGTTTGGTATTCTGGAAGCTGGAGCTTATGGAGTTTCCCAGTCACGAAAGCGAGCATTTATATGGGCAGCTGCCCCAGGAGAGATTCTCCCTGAATGGCCAGAGCCAATGCATGTCTTTGGCGTACCAGAGTTGAAGATCACATTATCAGGCAATTCACAATATGCTGCTGTTCGTAGTACTGCAAGTGGAGCCCCTTTCCGTTCAATAACTGTAAGAGATACAATCGGTGATCTCCCGGCCGTAGGGAATGGAGCGTCCAAGGTGAACTTAGAGTATGAAAGCGATCCCATCTCATGGTTCCAGAAGAAAATCCGAGGGGAGATGGCTGTTTTGACTGATCACATTTCGAAAGAAATGAATGAGCTGAATCTGATTCGATGCCAGAGAATTCCAAAGCGGCCAGGTGCTGATTGGCAATGCCTTCCAGATGAAAAGGTGAAGCTCTCTACTGGACAGATAGTTGACTTTATACCATGGTGCCTGCCCAACACAGCCAAGCGCCACAATCAGTGGAAGGGCCTGTTTGGAAGGTTGGATTGGGAAGGCAACTTCCCGACTTCCATTACAGATCCTCAGCCAATGGGGAAGGTGGGAATGTGCTTTCACCCTGACCAGGACAGGATTCTAACTGTTCGGGAATGTGCCCGATCTCAAGGTTTTGCGGATAGCTACCAGTTTTCGGGCACAATTCTTCACAAGCATAGGCAGATTGGAAATGCTGTTCCTCCTACTTTGGCCTATGCATTGGGGACTAAACTCAAGGAAGCAATTGACAGCAAGAGGTTGTCTTCACAAGAGCAAGAGTAGTTGTTGTTTGTCAGCAAGAGGTTGTCTTCACAAGAGCAAGAGTAGTTGTTGTTGTTTGTTTCTATGTAATACTGATAGTTCCATTTGGTTGCCTTCTAAGGCAAAAACACAGCTCAGTTTGTTGTCTTTGATTTTCTTCTTGTATTGTGTTTGTAAACTTGTCTTGATTGAGGAACTTCAATTTAATACACAGAAGCATTTTTCTTCAGGAGACAAGTGTCACAAGAGTTTGATACATATATATATATATATATTTGAAATTATTTTATTTAATTTAGTAAGCTTCTTTTGATTGGCCACGTAGCTCGGTAACATCGATTGGCAGGACCAGGTATGTGGGTCCCAGTTTGACATTATATCCTGCCACATGTCCACGTGTGCTCTCTGATTAAGCTCTGTCCCAGGAGGAAGGTCAATTCTGTCATTTTGTGAAACAATCTGTAGTTTTGGCCTTTGCCCTTTGCAAAGAGAGTGGGTGAGTGAGTAAGTGAAAGCGAAGTCAAGGGTCAAGGACGTCAAACATATTTTCCTTCTTAATGGTTCGGGTCACCTAATCAACCTCCACGTGTCACCGTCCTTTGATCCGAACCAACATTTTATTTTGTCCTTGAGAAACCGCTAATCTTGTCCCACTCCTCTTCCAACATAAAAATTGAAAAACTGCGATCAACGGCTCATTTCAAAGTTTTCACTTCACTCTCTTCTCCTCCTCTCTTCTTCTCTCTCTGGTCTCTGTCGTCGGTTGTTTCAAAGCAGAGAACTTTGGCTTTCTCAGGTCGTCTTTGTCTCCATCTCAGGAGTTGGGTTTTTTTTGGTGGTCTCTCAGATTCTGAAAACCGCAGAGCATAGGCCAGATCTTCTTCTTCATCACCATCATCAATGTTTGTCAGAAAGCTTGTGGAAAAGGCTTCCAAAAAGGCAAGTGATGTTCTTTTCCTCTTAACCTTCAATGAATTTTCAACCCAGCAATCAATCTCTCTGTTTCTTTAAGAACATGGTTCAATATCAATTCAATGAGATCAGTCCATGCTTTTGAATTTGATCCACTGTTATTCTCCTCCTCCCCCTTGTTCTTCTTGTTCTTGTGAAAAAAAACAGAGAAGGGTACTCAAAAGCTAGAATTAATAACGAATTAAATCTGTCATTAAGATAATAATTGTCAGGGGATCTGCAAATAAAGTTGTTTGATATCATATACGTTGTATCCTTTAGCCGTTCAAAATTATTAACCTGACATACATAATAATATACATATTTCGGAAAAAGCAGAGCAAATTTCGGGAACGAGGAAAAGTAGAAATTCGCAGTGAATTTGGGAATTAGATGATGAGAACAGAGTATCGAGATTGGGAATGGCGGTTCTGGTGTTAGCAGATAGGAAGAAGTTATGGGCTAGTAGCGGAAAAGTCGGAAAATAAATTTCGCTTCAAGTCCGGGTTTAGGCGGGAGAAAACTGATTTGCCACGTCATCGATCCGTGTGCTGTCGATCCATTGGTTGGGATTCGTTTTAGCAATCTGAACAATCTTGGTGGAAGAAACACAGATCGTTCATTGTTGTCGATCCATTGGTTGGGATGTGTTTCCTTGTGTTTCGTTGTGGCTGTGCAGTGGAAATAGCAGGACACGTGGATGCTTTGGCGCATGGTTTATGGGTGGCGGGTGCAGTGGAAATAGCAGGACACGTGGATGCTTTCCGTTCAATAACTGTAAGAGATATAATCGGTGATCTCCCGGCCGTAGGGAATGGAGCATCCAAGGTGAACTTAGAGTATGAAAGCGATCCCGTCTCATGGTTCCAGAAGAAAATCCGAGGGGAGATGGCTGTTTTGACTGATCACATTTCGAAAGAAATGAATGAGCTGAATCTGATTCGATGCCAGAGAATTCCAAAGCGGCCAGGTGCTGATTGGCAATGCCTTCCAGATGAAAAGGTGAAGCTCTCTACTGGACAGATAGTTGACTTTATACCATGGTGCCTGCCCAACACAGCCAAGCGCCACAATCAGTGGAAGGGCCTGTTTGGAAGGTTGGATTGGGAAGGCAACTTCCCAACTTCCATTACAGATCCTCAGCCAATGGGGAAGGTGGGAATGTGCTTTCACCCTGACCAGGACAGGATTCTAACTGTTCGGGAATGCGCCGATCTCAAGGTTTTGCGGATAGCTACCAGTTTTCGGGCACAATTCTTCACAAGCATAGGCAGATTGGAAATGCTGTTCCTCCTACTTTGGCCTATGCATTGGGGACTAAACTCAAGGAAGCAATTGACAGCAAGAGGTTGTCTTCACAAGAGCAAGAGTAGTTGTTGTTGTTTGTTTCTATGTAATACTGATAGTTCCATTTGGTTGCCTTCTAAGGCAAAAACACAGCTCAGTTTGTTGTCTTTGATTTTCTTCTTGTATTGTGTTTGTAAACTTGTCTTGATTGAGGAACTTCAATTTAATACACAGAAGCATTTTTCTTCAGGAGACAAGTGTCACAAGAGTTTGATACATATATATATATATATATTTGAAATTATTTTATTTTATTTAGTAAGCTTCTTTTGATTGGCCACGTAGCTCGGTAACATCGATTGGCAGGACCAGGTATGTGGGTCCCAGTTTGACATTATATCCTGCCACATGTCCACGTGTGCTCTCGGATTTAGCTCTGTCTCAGGAGGAAGGTCAATTCTGTCATTTTGTGAAACAATCTGTAGTTTTGGCCTTTGCCCTTGCAAAGAGGGTGGGTGAGCGAGCGAGTAAGTGAAAGCGAAGTCAAGGGTCAAGGACGTCAAACATATTTTCCTTCTTAATGGTTCGGGTCACCTAATCAGCCTCCACGTGTCACCGTCCTTTGATCCGAACCAACATTTTATTTTGTCCTTGAGAAACCGCTAATCTTGTCCCACTCCTCTTCCAACATAAAAATTGAAAAACTGCGATCAACGGCTCATTTCAAAGTTTTCACTTCACTCTCTTCTCCTCCTCTCTTCTTCTCTCTCTGGTCTCTGTCGTCGGTTGTTTCAAAGCAGAGAACTTTGGCTTTCTCAGGTCGTCTTTGTCTCCATCTCAGGAGTTGGGTTTTTTTTGGTGGTCTCTCAGATTCTGAAAACCGCAGAGCATAGGCCAGATCTTCTTCTTCATCACCATCATCAATGTTTGTCAGAAAGCTTGTGGAAAAGGCTTCCAAAAAGGCAAGTGATGTTCTTTTCCTCTTAACCTTCAATGAATTTTCAACCCAGCAATCAATCTCTCTGTTTCTTTAAGAACATGGTTCAATATCAATTCAATGAGATCAGTCCATGCTTTTGAATTTGATCCACTGTTATTCTCCTCCTCCCCCTTGTTCTTCTTGTTCTTGTGAAAAAAAACAGAGAAGGGTACTCAAAAGCTAGAATTAATAACGAATTAAATCTGTCATTAAAATAATAATTGTCAGGGGATCTGCAAATAAAGTTGTTTGATATCATATACGTTGTATCCTTTAGCCGTTCAAAATTATTAACCTGACATACATAATAATATACATATTTTGTTGATTATTTTGATGACAACAGTAATAAAAATGGGATGAAAAATAAATAAAATATTATTTGGTTGCGTTACGAACATGAAATTAGGGGATTGGGTTTTTGTTTGCATTTGCTTGATATAGACAATGCTTAATCACATCAGGAACGTGACATGATGGTATAGGTGTCTGTTTGGTAGTTGAGAATGTTACTAAATTTTAAGTTGTATTTGTTTAATATAGTGATGCGTTACTTCAGTCATTTAATATGAGAAAAACTTCCATATCTCAGTGTTATTGGATTACTCTTTTTATTTCGAGAGAGGCAAGAAGAGAGGGACAATGCCAATGCGGTATGCATTGATTTGTAGACCATAGGTATTAGGTTCGAGTCTCATAACACTTTAGTAATATGTGTGTGTGAGAAACTATCTTCCTCTTATAACTTAGACTATCGTAAAAGAAAGAAAAGAAAAAATGGAGAATGACACCGAAATATAGCAATATTTTTCTTTAACACGAGTCAATATTAAGAAAGAAACGCGTTTAACGGATGGATGGGGCCTTGAGGTGGGCGGTTGGATAAGAAACAAGCCAATGTTTTCATAAAAGAATTTATAAGAAAATTTTGATTAGTGTTATGGCTCTGAACTTTAGTATCGTCTCTTGGGTCTTGTCTTGTCTCTTTTAATTTGGTATTAATTTATCTAATTGGGTTTACTTGTCTTGCTATCCTTCCTCCTTTCTTTTGACTCATTCTCCATCTTGCAAGGGGATGTGACCTCACAAAGCTTAGCTTTAAATTGGTTTTAACTAAATGTATGTCTCAAGTTTTATTAGACCTCCTTTTAAACTTTATTAAAGGGATTAACACCCCCACCTCCATATAAATAGCTGCCACGTATCACCATCGAAGAAAGGAAAAAACCCATCTTAACCTTATAAGACCCGTTAACATATTCTCTGTATAATAGTTCTGAAAAAACATTTATTAGGTGCTTTTTTAGAAAACATTTCTATAACGAGTTTTTAATTCGATGCCGGACATGCCCTAAATTTGTGTTCTAGTGTATTTGGTGCATGCCATTGAAAATGTGAAAGATCGCTGACGCACGCCCACCTTCCATGAATGAATGCTATTAATAAACAAAAGCATCAATCTTATTGTATAATTTGGATCTTATATTGGATCCATTTTCCAGAAAACGAATGAAGGAATTATAATGGATTTGTAGTCAACTCATGGCAAACAAAAGAAAAGTTAATATTTGTAAAGACAATAAAGAGAGAAAGCTATCCATGTGATGGGCGGTGGATCAAATGTTTGTTTATCTACAATCAGATTTTGTGGGCCCATTTTAAAATCTCAACATGAGCTACGTGTCATGTGATGGGCTCGTACGTGTCATGTGATAGGCTCCCTTACAAGCCCACGAGCAAGCAGGTCAATTACCCATGGTCAAAGAGTCAATGGCCTAAATCTCTGGTCAAACTGCACTTTATTAATGTGGTTGTAAACTCTTTTTTATTTTAAATAATTATTATTGGGTTTTAATTTTTAAAGGCAATTTATAAATTTTTCAATTTAATTTGTAGCCTGGTGGAAATTCTGATGGTCTCAAAGGCAGCGATATAGACCCACGTCTATTATTTCATTATGGGATCCCATCGGGGTGTAACATGTTGGCTTATGATCCCATTCAAAAAATACT